CAGGACTTTGGTAAGCCAGTTCTTGAACACAACTGATTTTTAAAATTAAATTACATAAATATATAGTTTAAAAAATATATTAAAAACAGCCTGGAGGGCTGGTGAGATGGCTCAGTGGTCTAAAGCACCTACTTAGAACAAACTTAGCAAAGCACAGGGACCGCGGTTCAATCCCCCAGCACCACATGCCAGCCAGCCCCGCCCCCTGGTGGGCTGAGCTGGCCACACACACACACACACAAATAAAAATTTTTAAAAAATAAATAAATAAAAACAGCCTGGAGCTGGGGAAGATAGCTTGGGGTCATAAGCACCTTCCTGGCAAGCCCAAGGATCCGAGTTTGATCCCTAGTACCATGTGCTATGCCAGCCCAGAACCCTGGGCGTGGTGGTGCATGCATGCCTGTAATCCAATGCTGGGGAGGCTGAGACAGGAGGATCACTATGAGTCTGAAGTGCATAGTGAGACCCTGTATCAAACAATTTAGAAAAAGAACAGCATCCTGGCGTGATAGTAATCCCAACTATTTTAGAGGCTGAGGTAGGAGGATCACAAGTTTAAGGACATCTAAGCAATTTAGCGAGACCCTGTCTCATGATTTCAAAGGAGGGGCAGGGCTGGGCATGTGCCATGGTGCTCCCTAGGTTGTCACCACTACCACTAACTAAATACTCAAAGCTTTCCATTTATTTTACTAACATCTTGCTTTAGGAATTATTTATGTCTATCATAGGGCATTTACCTATCTTTGCTCCGAATAGAAGAATTTCTTTAGTGCAAAACCCAGAACAGTGTTTGACAAGCAAGGACAGCTTTTCAGCCTACACAAGTATTGTTAGCACAAAGACCTCCTGTGGCCCTGGACAGCTCTGTGGCCCCACAAGACTGTCTGTGCAGCTTAGCAAGTAAAAAAGCAGCGCCTACTGATCCTGTGCCTCAGCCTGCCTGCACGTGCGCCTGGGGAGCAGGTGTTCATTGTTAGTGTGTGGACATGTGAGCTTTCCTATGTAATTATTAAATGTGGGCCTGTGTTATAAGATTACTTGCAGTATTACAAATGGAATTTTTACTACTAACAGTTATATCACATATTTTATATGCAGCCCAAACAATTCCTTGCACAGGAGGGCCAAAAGGCTGGACACCCATGTCCTGGGCTATTGTATCTGTCTGACACTCATATGAGGAGATGCCTTCCCAGCTGTGCTCAGGGACATTACATTACAAGTCTGATGTCAGCAGGATGCTTCAGATTGGGGCTTGATTTATTTTGCTGTTTGAATTTAAGATAGTAATGGGGGAAATGTTAATGATGCAGATTAAATTTCAAAGTCTGCTATATCTGTAGCCACTGTATTGTGAGTAACATGAAAGTTAAGATGTTTCCCAGTATGCAGCAAGAAAGTTAAGTCTTTGACAAATGAATGTCTTTATTTTAGTCTTATTTTTTTATTAATTGTATTGAGAAAAAATAGCAATGAGACAGTTTCAAAACCGATTAGTAGGACAGTTTCAATAATTAATACATTGCATACTGTTGTCTTCATAGTGGTTATTCATAGTACAAGATGCAGACATGATATCCTGTCCAAACACTATTAGTACAAATCTTTGTTCTCACTGAATTAAGAGAAAGTAGCTGTATATCTAGCCTATTTTGTATATACAGGTACAAAATGGTCCTTCATTTGTCTCCCCTTTTTTTATTTAGTTTTGTCAGAGATGGGGATTCCATTGCCATTTAAATATCATAGGTGTGTGAATTCAGCAAAGTAATCCAATATAGTCCAGTAGTCCATAATAGTAGTGGGTTATCCATAGGACTAGCAATGTCAGGAGTTGTTGGCCTGAGCTTTTTGCAGCTCAGCATATTAATATGGCTTTACTTTTTTTAGTCTTATTTTAACATGAAAACATCAACCACTGGATGTGGTGGTGCATGTCTATAATCCCAACCCTCAGGAGGCTAAGGCAAGAGGATGGCTGTGAGTCCCAGGCCAGCCTCAACTGTGCAGCAAGACCTTATCTCAGGGAAAAAAAAAAAAAAAAATCTATCAACATTCATGTCAGAACTACTCTTGTTTGAGCCCTTCTCCACTGTTAGTGGGAGTGTAGACTGGTAAAATCACTGCAGAAATCAGTGGGAGATTCCTCAAATATCTAGGATTAGAGGTTCCATTTGATCCAGTTTTTCCCCTTCTGAGTATTTTCTCAGAAAAATTAGAAGTATCATACAGTAATATATGTGCACCCACTTTTTAGCCGCACAGTTTGCCATAGTTAAATCTCGGAAGCAACCCAAATGCTTATCAACTGAGAAATAGACTTAAAAAATGTATTTTTATACAATGGAGTATTACTCAGCTATAAAGAAAGATAAATTTGAGGCTTTTATAGGTATATGGAAGCAACTAGAGACCATACTCATAAGTGAAATAAATCAAACTCGGGCTGGGGATATGGCTCAGTTGAATAAGTGCTTGCCTAGCAAGCACTAGGTCCTGAGTCCAATCCCCAGTTCTAAAAAAAAAAAAGAGAGAAAAGAAAAGAAATCACACTCACATGTGGTAACATATTGTCTCCCTAGTGTGAGAATCTGCAAAAGTAAGTAAAATCTGAAAGGTACAATAGATACTGTGAAAGGGAAAGAAATTGCTCAAAAGGAAAGAACAACTGGGATGGAGGAAAGAAGGGATATGCATTTTAAAAAAATAAAACCAACAACTCTGATTTTTTAAAATGTATTTTTAGTACAGGGTCTTACTACACAGATGGGACTTGTAGTGATCCTCCTGTTTTCAGCCAAGCGCTGGGATCACAGGCACACACCACCACGCTCAGTCTCATTCACTATCTCAGCACACCCTGGAGGTGGGGCAGCACAGCAGGCGTGGGGTGGAACCCCGGCCCCTGCGTCTGCCTAAACAGGCCTGATTTTTTTTTTTTTTTTTTTAAAGACAGCTTCTTGCTGTGTAGTTCAGGCTGGCCTCAAACTTGCAACAGTTCTCCTGCTTTAGCATCCTGAGTGTTAGAATTGATCCCATCCAATACATAGAGAGAGACAGAGACAGACAGACAAAGAGACAGAGTGAGGAAAGAAAGAAATATACAGATCTTAAGCATTTATTTGGCTCAGTTTATATTCTGGTTTTGTAGTAGTGGGGACTGAACCCAGGGCCTTGGCCCTGTTGGCTGTTTTCACAAATAGAGCCACATAACCTGGCTGCTTCGTGGAATTTTCTCCTCACTCCCTGAAGTCCGCTCTTGCCCTTCCCTAGCCAAGCCCTGGTCTGATTGCAGAGCAACCACTGACCTGATTTCTGTCACTTTAGATTTGCTTGTTCTAGTGCTGGATATAAATGAAATTATGTCAATGTATGTGTTCTTGTGTCTGGTATCTTCCACTTAGCATCGTGTTTTTAAAAGCTTTTCCATGTTGTTATATCAGTTTGATCTTTTATTGCTGAGTAATAATTTGTACTGATACATCATGGTTTATTTTCTTCTTAATAGACATTTGTGCTAGTTCCAGTTTTGGCTAGCTTGGATAAAATTCCATGAATAGTTTTGTATTTAAAAAAATATTTTTGGCCTATATTTTCATTTTCTTGGATAAGTATCTGTGGGCGAGTTGGAAGCTCGTATTTAAACTGTTTGTGGGTTTTTGGGGGGTGTTTCTTGTTTGTTTGTCATTTTGTTTGTTTTTGTGGTAGCAGGAATCAGACTCAGGACCTGCCACTTGCCAAGCAGGTGCTTATGCTGCCAAGCTCTCTCTCTAGCCCTCATACTTAACCTTAAAGAAACAGCCTCCCAAAATTGAGGCCTACGCTTCTGTCTTTATACAACATGGTCTGCATTGCATAGGTTTGCTCAGGAATAAATCACGTAATGCCTTGAAGAGCTCAGCATGCCAGTTGACACAAGTAAGACTTGGCTGTCGTTTTACTTTGTCTAGCTGCTGACTTTCAGATCTCAGCACTGGTGCTGAACATCCAGGCACCTGCACACGGAGCCCCTGGCCTTAGCTGTCCCATGGCATCACCAGCTTGTGCCAAACTACTCTTCTCCCCCATCCTCCATCCCCTGGCCTGGTCCCCTACATGGGCTTTACGAAGATGGATCTTTCCTTTGCTCACGCCTGTCCCTTCACATCTAGTAGGCCACCAGTCCTGTTGATTCTACCATTTTAATAGCTTTCTCATGTATCCCTCCTCCTCTGTTCCATACTATTGTCACCTTAGTTCTTATTGTCAGTGTCCCCAGGATTGCTGCAGTGGTCTTCTGAGACCATCCTTTGGGAATGTCCATGGCCTGCACTGCAATGAGAGGGGTCTGTCCACAAAACAACCTGACCTTGCCACAATCCAGTTGGACACTTAGTGACTTCTAGGAGAGACCCAGCTCCTAACATTCCTGTCGAGGTCCTGCGTGAACTAAGCCTCATCTTCCCCCAACTCCTTCCTTTCATAAACTTGGTTTCCATCCCCTAGATTTCTTCCCATTACCTAGACTTTTCTCAAGAGGACTTTGTTCTGTGCTGGTTGTTGTACATCTAATGCCCTTCTGCTCCTACCTCACCTGGCCGCAGCCCCCTCACCTTGCACATTCCATCAGCACCCGGCCAGGAGGATTCTCAGTTCTATGGGGCTTTCTCTGCTGACTGGCACCTTCCCTGTCAGGTTGGGCTAAATGCCCATCACACGTGACCCAGCACCCAGTACTTTTAAGTACTCATGGCATTGACTTTCCCAGTGCCCCCTGACTCCCACTCGAGACCTGAGTTTTCAGAAGACAGTGAATATGTTTATCATGCTGGATTCTCTGGCAGTTCCACTATAGCAGGAACTCAGTGGATGTTTGGAAAATTAAACTGTTGCATTTGTAGCACGAGAGACCTCACTTAGTTTGCTGCTGATTCTACTAGGGATGAGTGCCCGGGGGGAAGCACATAGCCTTTGAAGTTGCTGGGTTCTTATCCATTCTCTTCTCATCCTCACAGCCAGATGAAAATTCACTGGATTTTTCCTCTTGTATGCTGCGGCCTGGGATTAAAAATGCTCAGGAGCTTGCTTGTGGTGTGTGCCTCTTAAACGTGGACTCCAGGAGCCGGGTAAGTCACAGGCCTTCCCCTGCATATGGCGGCATGAGGGACAACCACATACAGTCCTGTCACTGACTACAGGTAGAAATTTTTAAAAATCCTGAAAGATGAAGTAGAAATAGACAGTCTTCCCCAAGGGCAGTGGGGGGCGCTGTTAAGTGAATGGACTCTGCTCCTTCCTTGCTGATAAGCACAGGATCTGCCTGCAACGTTCTGTGTGCAGTGGGGCCTTGGAAAGGTTAAAGCTGTGAGGATTTATTTAGAGGCAAGAGGTCCTATTCTGGGAACTTTTTTGACCTTATGGTTTCAACATTATTTCAGAAAGAAGAGAAGCCTGCAGAAGAACATCCTAAAAAAGTATGAACCAGTTGCACATTATCTTAGTGTCTCCATCTTAATTTTGAGCGTGGAAGGGAAATGGATGATTCTGTTGCCCTCCAGGACCGTTGCGATCATAAAGCCTTTTGTTCCCATGATGTTTGATTTATTTCACTAACATGTCTGTGTGGATCTCTGCTGTTTCGTGTGCATGTTTGTGTCTCACATTTGGCTTTGGGTGTCATCGTTGTCTTTCTCTGCAGTTCTCAGGGTAACACAGTCAACAACTTCTGGAACACTGGAAGTTGGAATGACACGCAGAATGAAATCAGGGAGCTTCAGGATTTAGCCCTTAACCAACAAAAACAAATCATTTAAACTGAGCATGGTAGCATATACCTATAACCCCAGTACTCTGGGAGGCTGAGGCCAAAGTATAGGAGTATCCCAGATTTGAATCCAGCTTTAGAGAGACCCCATCTCAAGATTAAAAAAAAAAAAAAAAAAAAAACTAATCCCAGGACATGGTCGAAGTGATCTGAAAATCATTCTAAAGTATTTAATGCCTATTTTTTATGAGCCACAAAGCTGTTGGGACTTTTTAATGACAGTAGTCTTCTCTTTTTTTTTTTCTTTTCTTTATTTGGTACAGGGTTTTGCTATGAAGCTTGGACTCGTAGTGATTGTTCTGTCTTAGCCTCCCGAGTGCTGAAATTACAAGTGTGTGCCACCACACCCAGTTTCAGTGGCTGGCTCAACGCGGGGCTGATACGGCATGTGGTACCGGGTATCAAACCCTGGTCCTTGCGCTTGCCAGGCAGGCACTTAGACTGCTGAGCTATCTCCCCAGACACAGCAAATACACTCCAAGACCCACAGCTGATGTTGAAACCATGGATAGTGCTGAACTCTATATTTGCTATTTTTTTCCTGTACCTAAATAGCTATGATACAGCTTAACTTATAAATTGGGTGCAGTAGTAAAATACAGTATGGCAGTAGACCACAATAAGATTGATATGAAGATAGTCTCTCATGAAAGAGTGATGACAAAGTGTTGATATTGCCAGACTGGTTTCTTGCGCATAACCGAAACTGCAGAGTAGAGGGGCTGCTGTCTGTCATCAGCTTCCAGTGGCGTTAGACACTGAGAGTTGTTGTCAAGTGTTTCCTAACTCTGATAATTTTTCTGTCATGATAGTACTGTAATCAGTCACAGTTTAATGGGCCCACGTTCCAGCAGATGGCAGTCTTCACGGGGGACATCCAGCACACCAAGGGATAGCAATTACCTGTAGCCCTTGGCTCACTTTTCCCCCATCTTAGGATTTCTCTTCCCTCCCCATAACCTCTGCCTGCCTTTTCTTTGAACAATTTGGCCTTTTGCTAAAACTAGGTTGAAGGATAATGATATCTATACCTCTCATTAGCAGTAAAGAAACTTCTTCAGTTGAATTCCGACTGCTGCTTGCTAGCTTTTGTGTGTGCCACTTGGGCCTCAGCCCTGTGACACCTGGAGAAGTGTATGTGTTGGCTGCTGAACAGCTCTTAGATGCAGAAAAAGCCTGACTTGTCCTATATCTCTATTTCTGGCAGGCATTCAACTCAGAAACAGACAGTTTCAAGCTGGCATACGGAGGGCACCAGTACCACGCCAGCTGCGCCAACTTCTGGATCAATTGTGTTGAACCAAAGCCTCCCGGCCTCATCCTGCCCGATTTGCTCTGAAAAGCTCCTCCATGAAGCATCAACTGTTTTGTTTTTGTTTTTTTTTCTGTCGCTCACCTTGAGGTGACAGGAACCAATAAAAACAGGATGTGAGTACTGCGAGTTTACCTCTATGAGTATGTGAAGAATTCCCCACGAGGCAGAGCAGAAAACCCCAGTGGAGCATCCCAGCGGCTCCCACAGGCAGCCTGTGAGCTCTTGGTCCCGCTGCCTGCCTGTGGGATTTGAGGTAAAATTGCACTTCTCAAACAGCTTATGCCGTCAGAAGTTTGCCCACTCATCTCTAGTTCTCTTCGGGTGTCTTTAAATCTGGACCACAGTTTTCTTTATGAAAGAATGTGCTGCTACAATACTGAAGCTGTGAAGAATGGACATTTAAAGAAAAATAAGTTATTGGTATAGGACTGGAATTGGGAAAACTGTGGCAAGCCAGTGTTTGCTTATATCTGGAGCACATGGTCCTGTGAAGTCGACTGCATTTCTCTGCATTAGTTTGTAAAGATCTGACTTGAATAAAAAGGGAAAATTGTGGTTAACCTGATTCTCTGCCTTAGAAAAATCTCTGCTCATCTCCATTAGACAATGGCAGACAAAGAGTTACCATCTTTGCTTCTCTACTCCTCTTCCTTTCTTGTGAAATGTCAACTCTCAAGAAGACATGTATGTCTTCTCCGGAAACATTCCTGGGCTCTTTGCTGTGGAGAACATCCATTTGACAGAGGCCTAAAACCTGTGCACTGGGGTAAATATCCTTTGGAGCTCTTGCTGAAAGCCTGTTTTATTTTGCACAAAGGCTAGTATGAAGCATGGCATTTTTCTAAATAAAATCTGGGAAGGGAGCCAGGCATGGTGGTGCACGCCTATAATTCCAGCACTTGGGAAGCTGAGGCAGGAAGATCACATGAGTTCAAGGTCAGCCTGGGCTACAGGCAGTTCAAGGCACAGTGGGACCCTGTCTTAAAAAACAAATCTGGAAGTGTCACAAAACACGAGCTCTTTGCACCAGCCTCTCCATATCCAAAGATGACTGCATATGAGCCAGTACTGCCTGACCTCACAGCATCCCTGAGACCAGAAAACTAACACGGGGAGGTGTGCTCTAGCCAGGCAGCGGAACAGTGGACCTGTGTGTATTTAGGGTAGAGATACACACCACAGAAGCAGGAAGGAATCATTTCCACAGCAGTATTCCATTTTAAAAGGAAAAGGCTCATGGACTCTGGTGTAGGAATTTTTCTTTAACATTTAAACTGAATGCAGAAAATTAGGGGAACAAAAGCTACATGGCTAAGGGCTATTATTTCTGAGGAAGAATAGGCTGGTCTAGGGCAAATGTTTCTTCAAACTTGGTTCTGTGCTTTCTGAAGAGACTGCGAAGCTTATGACTCACTCTGTGACTTGGGCTCTCTGACACGGATTTAGGTTGTACTTGAAAACTGAAAAGGCTGATTTTCATCTAAGTGCTGCTTTTACATAATTCCTTTCTCCTTTGGGAACAAAACTTGAGAGAATTCTATGTTGTCCTTACACCTTTCACATTTTCTCTAAGAAAGTTTAAGACTGTTTTAAACAGCTATTGATGTGACTTCTGAATGACCGTGCTGTGCAACAGAACACAGAAGAAGCACTGGTGAAATAGGTGCTTTTATACCAACTGGCAGGACACGCCTGAGCACTCGAAAGACTGAGCAGGAGGATCACTGGGAGTTCAAGGCCAGTCTGAACTGCAGTGAGACCCTGTCTAAAGAAAGAAAAGAAAAAGAGAAAGGGGAGGCAGGGAGGAAGGAAGAGAGAAGGAAGAAAGGAAGGAAGGGAAGACAAGAAAAGAATGTCAGTGTTCTTTTTTGCACCAGATGACACCAACTGCAGCTATTAACGACTGGGACAGCTGACTCAATTACTACCTGGAGTAGCGGCTTGTTAATACCACCACCAGGGGCCGCTTCATCCTGCACAGCCCCAGCGTTTCATCCTCTAACAAGCAGCTTTTTGAGACGTCTCGTGAATTCCATCAAGTCCATCAAATGTGGCACTTTTCTGAACAGAATCTGGAAAGGGAGCCAAGCATGGCAGCACTCAGGAAGCAGGAAGATCACGTAAGTTCAAGGCTGGAACGGGCTACAGCCAGTTCAAGGTGCAGTGACACTATCTCAAAAAAGCATCTGGAAAGGCCATGGAATGTGATCTCTTTGTAGCAACCTCTCCATTTCCAAAGATGACAGCATAGGACGAGCAAGAACACTTCCCAGCTTGGTAAACTTGATATTACTACAGCAGTTTTGAGAAATACTACATGGGCTGTCATTCAGTCACTGCCATCCCTATCAAGGATGGCGAAATTGTTGGAACTTTCAGTGATAACAAATAGCCTGCTGCCTGCTGCAGGAGTGCCATACGTTCACCGGCACTGGCCTATGTCAATGACATTTTTTTAAGCACCTGTTAACTAGATTAGCTTTATTCCTAGATTTATTCTAGAATGCCTAAGAAAAATCCCTGAGTATAATCACAGTTATCGACACCAAGTACGATAGGTTTAGTCACTCTTTGGGAGGCGCCAAAGGAAAATTTAGTAGACATAATAAAAAAAATTTTTTTTTTTTGCTATGAAAAGTACTTGTTAATTTTAGTATTTGTTTAATACTTGAGATGCTTAGGTACCACTGACGAGGATTTGGGGAGTATGGAAATGCCACTGGGCTGATTTTCTTTCTATGCCTTTATTAAAACAACTCAGCACTGCATTCAGCTTCACCTCAGCTCTTGTCAGCCAAGAGCCCAGTGTCCTTGGAAACAGTAACCAAGGTTACTTATTTCTATGCTGCCTATTGTGTCAGGCAGCTTCACCCCACTGCTTGAATGGCGATTAATAAGTACTTTTCTTTTTAGGTGTTGTTTTGCCTTTTCAATTCCTATAGCTTAGTGTGTAATTTAATCTTTGTATGGACATGCTTGAGATACAACAGGTACAAGGTAGACAAGATTATTACCCATGCTTCTTGTATAGCCAATTTCACATAGACTACATATTTTAAACTGTTATTTTGTGTGTGTGTGTGTGTATATATATATATATATATATATATATATATATATATAGCTTGTGATTGGGGGAGGGGACTTTGTTTAAAGATATCCTCTACTTTCCTATCTAATTAGTGTGTTCTTGCCAGGCATGGTTGCACACACCTGTAATGCAAGCACTTGGGAGGCTGAGGAAGGAGCCTCATCAGGCATGCAGGGCCAGCCTGGGCTACATAATGAGTTCAAGGCCATTTTGAACTACATATTGAGACCCTGTCTCAAAAAACAAAAACAAATTAGCATGTTCTTAAGTTTTTAGGGCCAGGGAGATGGCTCAGTAGAATAAGTGCTTGCCTGGCAAGCACTGGGTCCTGAGTTCAATCCCCGGTACCAAAAAAAAAAAAAGTTTTTATGAAGGTGTAAGGGCTGCATGTTATAAAAATTTGAAATGTTTGCTCTATATTGGAAACCATTATGAAAATTCCACTTACCACCTTATAGGTCAGATTCCTTCCTTTGAGAACAATTAAGAGATTGGGGACATTTTCAAAATCATTTGGCATTCAAAAGAGAACATTATAGCCTGCTGTGGGCCATGCCAGCAAATGTCAGAATGCAGGGCAAAGTGTACTAGCCTGTGTGTGTTTATGTTTAAGTTGCATATTTCTTTAGGAAAGTGTGTACCAAGTAGTATCAAAAGGACTTCTTACAAGGTTAAGCCAAGGAAATAAAGCTTAGTAAGTGAAATGACTCCCAGTTGAAAACGTTACAAATATTTTTCTATCATAACAAAGCTTGACTTAGTTTCATTCTTTGTGTTGATGTGAACATAATGTAAATGGTTTTAAAGCATTCTCTTGGGACATCTCAGTTTGTAGCTGTGGCTGTATTAACTAGCGAGTGCTGTGGCTCCATAATGAACTGTGTTGTCTTCTGTGTAGTGTGAAGTTTGGTCCTGTATTTTAAAAAGTGCTGTGGCTTTTTCCATTTGTTTACATTTTAATAAACAGTGGCCCTGACTGATGTGTTCACACATAAAGTCTAACCTTTAAAGTATTTTCAGGTTTGTTCTGAAGTAACCACTTGTTATACTTCTGAAACAGAAAATATGAGTGTAGAAGAGAGTTATGCTACTAATCTTTCGGGCTTTCAGGGTTACGATTTCACATGGATGCAGGTCATAAGGATGAACAAGGGCCAAAGCACCTAGGAGCCAGGCTTCCTAAGTGCTGAAAGCACTGAATTAGAGCCTGATGGTGGGATCTGCCATGATTTCTACAGGAAACTTTACTTAACTCCCACCAGCAATATCTGTCACCAATTGTTTTGTCCTTGTAAGTACGATTATTTTGGGGCTCTTGTTCAGAGACGGAGACCTAAATCTTGGCCTCTTGGTGGAGCTGTGGTCTCCCTGGACCATTTTAATTTTTGATCTTGTGCTCAGAATGTTTCATGTCCTCTTCTGTGCTCCTCTTATTTCTCAAAGAAATTTTTAAATTTCCTGCTTAGACAATAATGTTATGTGTTTACAAGTGTGCAAATGGTACACAACAGAAAAGGCAGACTTTAAACGGAAGTACACTGCCCGAAGGTAAATCTGGAAGATAAGATCGTCTAAATCGTATGTAGTGGCACATGCCTATAAACCCAGGTACTTGGGAGAGTGAGACAGGAAGAACGCAGGTTCAGTTAGTCATGGTGGTGCACTCCTGTAATCCCAGCCCTCAGGAGGCTGAGGAAGGATTCCTGAGTTTGAGGCCAGCATGGGCCATACAGTAAGTTCAAGGGCAGCTTGAACTACATAGTAGTAAGACCCTGTCTCAAAAAAAATAAATAAAACAATGCAAGCCTGGGAAACGCTATTAGCAAGACTCTGCCTCAAAAATAAGAAAAATAAAATTTAAAATTAAAAGGACTGGGAATATAGCTTAGCAGTAGAGCACTTACCTAGCTTGCACAGACCCCAAGTTCAAATTGTAGTATTGAAAAAAGTTAAACTGGTCTAAACAGGTAACTACTGGCAGTATTTATGGCCTCATGCCAAAACAGGCTATAAAGGTAGAAAATTATTCAATGATAAGTAAGCCACAACCCTCCGGGCAAATAAAGCAGAGCAGTACTATGACAGTGGTTCCCGCCAGACTGTGCAGGCTCCAGGCAGCTCTCCTATCTAAATAAGGGGCATCCCAGTAGGTACCCAGTAGTTTCCAGGAAGAATAAACAGAAGAAGCCATAAATTCCTGCCCTGTCCCCGATGGACTATGCTGCCAGACTTTGGGGAACAAGAAACTGGGTGATATTTCCGAAGTTTAAAAAAAAAGAAAGCCATTGTATCACTTGTTTTAATACACTCTTGCTCTGTAGTTCAAGTTGGCCTTGAACTCACTGTGTAGCCCAGGCTGGCCTCAAACTCCTGGTGATCCTCCTGCTTCAGCCTCTTGAGTGCTGGGGTCCCAGGTGTGCACCACTACGCCCAACCCACTTGCTCATTTGCTCACCACATACACTGAGATTTAGACTAGAACATTCTTGTGTGTGAAGAGCCGAGCAGAGGCACACTTGTTAAAAAATAATTTGATGAGGGATGTGGTACTTTTAGTGTACTCCACCTCATGAGAAAACTGCACACAGAACTTCTTTTAAAGCTTACACAGTTTCCCGCTGTTCCAACATGTGAATATTAATGTCTGCCCATCTGCAAAGATGCAAACATTAAATGATTCAGCTGGGGTCTATTTTAAGTAAGGCTAATAATTGTTCTGAGAGCCAGCTTAGTAGTGATTAGCATCTTTCTCCCATCAACATACATGCACATTCCTACCATGAAATTAGTACAAGTTCTATGTTAAGCACATATATTTA